CTAAAAAGGAACAAACAAAACCAACACATAGGATACTACACAATACAATAGCATGCACATGTGTAATTCAATTTGCTGCAGAGTGCTTCAAATAATACCCTAAATAAAAAGACAGAACACTGACATGATTCAACTAATGTTCATTATGTTCTGTGTCCTAGTTAACTTCAGCAATTACATTTGCAATTTCCAAATTCAATACATGAATATCTGTCAGCACCAGTGATGGCAGCAATAAAGTGTTTATGGGTAAGAATCAGGGAAAAGCCAATGAGGCAGATGTCATGGTTGGAGTCTGTTACAGACCACCCAACAAGGACAAAGAGGCAAAATATTCTACAAACAGCTTGAAGAAGTCTCACAATCACCAGCCCTTGCTCTCGTGGAGGACTTCAAGTTACCAGATGTCTGCTGAGAATATAACACAGCAGAGAGGAACTGTCTAGGAGATTTCTGGAGTGTATGAAAGATAATTGCCTTACACAACTGCTGAAGGAGCCAGCTAGGGAAGGTGCCCCACTGGATTTGCTGTTTGTGAACAGAGAAGGATTTATAGGTGATGTGATGTTTGTAGTGAGCACAGCGATGACAAAATGTTATTTTCAGTTCTTAGAGAAGGAAGGCGGGGGAACAGAGACCTGCTGTCATGGACTTCCTGAGGGCAGATTTTCACCCATTTAGGAGAGTGGTGGACAGAGTCCCTTGGAAGGCAGTCCTGAAGGGCAAAGGGGCCAGGAAGGCTGAACATTTTTAACAAAGGAAGTCTTAAAAAGTACAGGACCAGGCCATCCCCATTGCCAAAAGACAAGTTTGCAGGGAAGAACACCATCCTGGCTGCACAAGCTTTGGCTGGAACTCAGGAAAAAAAGAAAATATGACCTTTGGAAGAAGGAACAGCTGAATCAAGGGGGCTGAATCATAAGGTTTTGCAGGAAGAAAATTACAAGGGCCAAAATCCAACTAGAACTTAATCTAGCAACTGCCATAAAATGTTTCTATCAATATATCGGCAACCAAAGGATGGCCAAGAAGAATCTCTATTTTTTGTTGGATATAGGGGGAAATATAGTGACAAAGGATAAGGAAAAGGCTGAGGTACTTAGTACTGCCTTTGCCTAAGTCTTCAATAGAGCAACAGTAGTTCTCTGGGTACCCAGCCCCTGAGCTGGAAGACAGGGACAGGGAGCAGAATGAGGCCCCCATAATGCAAGGAGATGTGATCAGCATTCTGCTACAACACTTAGACACAAACACAAGTCTGTGGGGCCAGATGGGATCCACCCAGGAACACTGAGCATGGAAGTGCTCACCAAGCCACTCTCCATCATTTACCATCAGTAATACCAGGGAGCTCCCAGACGACTGGAAGCTAGCAAATGTCATGCCCATCTACACAAAGGGTCAGAAGGGGGATGCAGGGAACTACAGGCCAGTCAGCCTGACCTCAGTACCAAGGAAAGCCATGGAGCATATCATCTTTAGTGCCATCACGCAGCTTGATGGGACAACCAGATCAAACCCAGCCAGCAGGGGTTTATAATGTGCAGGTTCTGTTTGACCAACCTGATCTCCTTCTCGGACAAAGTGACCATCTTAATGGAAAAGGGACAGATTGTGGATGTTGTTTACCTCAACTTTAGTAAACCTTTGACAGCATTTCCCACAGCGTTTTCCTGGAGAAACTGGATAGTCACAGCTTAGACAGGTATATTGCTTACTGGGTAGAAAAAAGGCTGGGTGGCTGAGCCCAGAGAGTGGTAGTGAACTGAGTTACATGCAGCTGGTGACCAGTCATAAGTGACATTCCCCAGGGCTCAGTACTGGGGCCAGTCCTGTTTTTTACCTTTATCAACAGCCTGGAGGAGGGGATCAAGTGCACCCTCAGGAGGCTGCTAATGACACTAGGCTGGGTGGGAGGGTTATCTGCTGGAGGGTAGCATGGCTCTATGGCAGAATCTGGACAGGCTGGAACAATGGGTTGAGGCCAATTGTATGAGGTCCAACAAGGCCAAGTGCCAGGTCATTCCCTTCAGTCACAACAACCTCACACAACACAACAGGCGTGGGGAAGAGTGGCTGGAAAGCTACCCTACAGAAAAGTACCCAGGGTGATGGCTGACAGCAGCTGAGCATGAACCAGCATGTGCCCAGGCGGCCAAGAAGGCCAATGGCATCCTGGCTCCTACTTGAAAGTGAGTGGCCAGAAAAGTATCGCCCCTCTGTATTCAGCACTGGTGAAGCTGCACCTCAAATACTGTATTCAGTTTGGGGCCCCTCATTACAGGAAAGCCATGGAAGTGGTGGAGCATCGCCAGAGAAGGGCAACAAAGCCAGTGCAGGGCTTAGAGGTGAACCAGGGGCTGTAAAACTTAGATGGAATATTAAATTTTACCAAAAGGGTTGTGAAGCACTGGAAGAGACTGCCAAGGGAAGTGGCTGAACCACCACCCCTGCTGGTATTTAAAAGATGTGCAGACATGGTGCTCAAGGACGTGGCTTAGTAACAAACACAGAGGTTTGCTGCACTCAATGATCTTAAAGGTCTTTTCTGACCTAAATGACTCTTATGACTTTCTAGTGAAAAAGGTTGTACACCAAATCAATAACAGCTCAACTTTATTCAAATTATCCTGAAAAGGGAGAACCTTACATTAAAATAGTTTTAGAGGAGTATGGCAGCAAGGAAGTCAACCTCAAGTACCTCTACCAGGCAAAAACAAAGTTCCAAGGTGAGCATGATATCATAGAGACACCAAGAATTTATTCATTTTAAAAAATACACACACAAAAACTCTCCCTGACAGAAAGATTATTTCACATTATTAATGACTACACAGAAACATAAGGTTTACTCAAGCACAGTCACTAACTTCAATTGTCACTTATTTTCCAGATAAAAAGGGTTGTTTATTGGTTTTTCTAAATTTTTAACTTCTTAGCTCTCACCTTTCTTTTTTCTCCCCCCAGGTTTTTAGAAGTCACAATGTGTTTGCTCCCGTGACTAACTGAAAGTTCTTTATTTTAAAAATATCTACCATTGAGAGAATAAGACATGAGAGAAGTTACTAGTGAACACAAGCAAGAATTAACATATTTAGCAGCATACAAATATAAAAAGACAGAGAGCACTGAATTTGTCTTCTTAAGCCTACAAGGACACATTAAAGACAGCAGACCTAAAACTAACTAGCCAACTAACCTGGCTAACAAGCTTTCAGCATGCATTGCTCAAAGCAAACCTACAGCTGTGTGGCTTAAAAGCCAGCAATTTTAAGTCTGAATTTACCTTGTCCACTGCCACTATTATCAACATCAGCAACACACAGACAGCCTTGGTCAAATTCTTCCTTTTCTCCAAGTATGGTGGACCACCAGTCTCTAGCTTTAAACAAGGACATTCTTCTTTACTGAAAAAGAAACAAACCATTGTTAAAGTTTATATTAATAGATGCAATTGTTTATACAAAAAACTTTTTCTTTGTAAGTAACAGGTTTCCTTAAGTATATTACACCTCTCAATTTCACATTGCACTAGTGTGAGCTAAATAAATGTTAATTTCAGGTGTCTGGCGTTTCTGGTTATACAGTTCTGAAAACAACCCGAGGAATATTACAGTCAGATGAATTAGATGTGACAGACACTGCTAGTTATATAAAGAAAATGCAACACAGTAACAGACTTTTAAAAACTGTTAAATGCTAAATGCCTTCTGTTGCAAGCACTAAGTAATAAAAAGTTTTTAAAGTCACAGAACAGAGTTCTCTTCTTTCACCAAGGAGTACCAACAAAAAAAAAAAAAAGGCAAAAAAATTCTGATGCAAGTCCTCTGCAAGAGAAATTATTTTTAGACAAGTAAATGGAGACATAAACAGACGACATCAAAACTTCCACCGCATAATCGCCTTGAAGATGCTCCAGTGACACGACTAAAGAACTCGGTCATACAGGGCACAAATCAGCTTTTCTGCTCCCTACCTGATGTTATTTTAAGAAGGGGGGAGGGAAGGAGCGAGGAGACTAATCCCTTAGCGGGCAGCTCGACAATAACATTATCCTAGCTCAAAACTCACGGCTCCGTGCCTATGGACCCGGACGCAGTCGATCCCACAGCCCGCACAGGAGGCGAGGGGCGGCCGAGCACCGACAGCTCCAGCGGGACGAAGGGAAAAATACGGGATTCGGAACAAACGCAGACTGATTCGGAACGCAGCCTGCAAGCCCGCGCCTTGCCTCTTTCAAGGAAACCAAGTCCGACAAACAAAACCACGTATTTTCCACCTTTTTCACTGTCGCTATGCCCGCTAGGCAACCCGCTGCCGCCGGGTGCGGGCTGGCACAGCACAGCGCTCCACACACACCCCCTCACTCCCTGCTGCCCTCCCTCATAGAGTCTCTGAGCAGCACACACAGCACCCACACCGAGCCTGGGACACGGACACGGACACGGACACAGACACAGATACAGACACACATCCCCGTGCAGCCGGAGAAAACAGACGGAGCCCGGCGGGGGCTTACTTGGGCGGGAGGCGACAGCTCCCTGGCACGGCGCAGTCCGAGCGGCAGCCCCGCTTCCTCACAGGAGCTCCTCGCTCAGTGGCGGCCCGAGGCGAGGCACAGAGCAGCAGGGCTACAGGCGCAGTCCCACCACTGCCGCCATCTCCAGCATCCTCCGCTCCCCACCGCCGGCACCAACCGCTCACCGCCCCACGCCCCGCCCAGGGGAGAGCTTGGGAAATGTAGTTTGGGAAGCGGCGCCATGGGCCGTTGGGCTCTCTCACTTTGTCCTGTACTTGGAGGGAAGAGCAAAGAAGAGAAACATTTATTTTGTATTTTCTGAGAGGAAAAAAAATTAAAAAGCAACCCTAAGCACTTGGTGACTTGTTCTTTTTCTTCTTCAAACATCTCACAGAAACCTCTTTCTCTCTAGGGGTCCAGCTCCACCCGTGCGTGCACCCTTTCTCTCCCCCTTTGGCCTGTGGCGTGGTACGGCCGGCGAGGGGCCGGGACGGCGGGGCGCGTGCGGCACCGTCGTTGCCGACCCGGCGGTCGGTCAGCGGGGTCTCGCCGGGATCTCGCTCCTTCGCCCACAGCGAGGGGCGCAGCCGCGCTTCCCCGCAGCGGCTCCCGGCGCCCCGGGCACTACTATCATGGACAGGACCGCCGTGGCCAAGATGGGAGCGGTGGCGAGCGCCAGCGTGTGCGCGCTGGTGGGCGGGGTGGTGCTGGCGCAGTACATCTTCACCATGAAGAAGAAGACGGGTAAGAAGACCAAGATCATCGAGATGGTACGTGGTAAGAGGCTGAGCCCCTCGGCCCCCGCACGCACGCCCTTCTCCTTGCCCTTCCTCTGCTGCGGCCGGCGGCTCCCCACGGCCGCTCCCGCGGAGCCAGGCGGGTATCCCGAGGGGATATCATATCTGGAGGGGCAGAGGGGGGACCTTGAGCTCAGTTTGGGATTTCTGTAAGGACAGGCGCTGGAGGCAGGAGCAGCTGTTCCTTCCCCCTCAGCGTGACCCACTGGCACGGAAAAGGTGCGTGAGGAAAGGGTCTGCGCCGTCCTGCCCTGCCCTGTCCGGCCCGTATATACCTGTAGGATACGTACGTACCCGTGGGTCTTGGTGGTAATTTACAAGCCTGCTCGCAGTTAGTTTAAAGGAAAAATGGACACGCACACAGCACGTGTTCAACCATCTGTTGAAACTGGGAAGCACAGTCTGTTCACGGTTACTATAAAAGGAAGATGGAGCTCGCTCTCTCTAGCTGGCCTTGTTAAGCTTATTGTTTAGGAAATTATTTAAATATCTGCTTGTGGATAACTGGGTCGTAAAAGATCTTAGTTTGGACAACATGCTCATTATGTGGAAGTCCTTCAGATTTTGTGAGTTGGACACTGCCGTACTGAAGAACTGAACTGAAATCCTCAAGGCACTTGATGTTAGCTAATGGGTATTTTGTGATCCCCCCTGCTGTATTTTACTGAAAGCTCTGATGAATTTTTATAATTACACGTGGAAACAGATTTTAGTAAGAGCTAGGATTCTGTATGTAAATTGCGAGCTGCCTAAGTGCTCGCTTGGCCGCACATTGCCATGCTTGCCAGTGGAATTCATGCAGGGCAGTTCGTGATAATGTGGGTCCAAAGAAGAATTCTACTTGGAGTTTTTGCTCATTGTAGAGGCATCACTTACTGTTGAAAAAAATACTGTTTCTAGTCATCAGTCATGTCATCTCATGTCATCTGACAATTTGGAGAGGAATGACTTGGTTTTTATTTTCTCCAAGCACAGTTCCAATGGCTTGTGGGAGAGCAGAAACTTTGGATTGCCACTTTAACTAGCAAATAGCCTTAATTCTAAAGATGCAGGTCTTCTTTCTTACGTAGTATTTCCAGTGGACACATGAATTCAGGCTGTGCAATTTCTTTGAAATAAGTGAAATAGTTATGTAAACTTCATACCAAGGTGTTGAGTTTATCAAGTATGGGCAAAAATGTGTACATGCATTTTATTTGAATATGCTGCATTTGGAAGAACTTTCTTTTATCCACCAATGCAGATTTGATTCAATGTTTGTCATTTACAAGACACTATCAATTTTATTTTATGACAAGGGGACTTTTCTTTGAGCTATGGAGGAGAAGATGCTTTTTCCAGTCTGTAACTTAGTGTAATTTTCGATGGTGGTAAGAAACAATACTGCCTTATTGAAATGTATCTTCTTCCAATACCTGGCTGGTCTTCTGTGTCAGATTAAAATTATGGGCTCATTCTTATATTTTCAGCAGATTTTTTTGGTTCAAATTTTCTTTGGGGAACATTGCACTGTAGTTTTATATCCACATTAGACTCAGAATTACCTTGATGTATAACTTTTATCAAAAGCAGTTGGGATCAGGCTTATTTACATCTTAGTTATGTGAATGAAACATTATTTCATTATAATTAACTACAGCAATTTTTCTTTCTTAGTCAAAATAAAGTTAGATGAATATAAAAACCCAAGTATAAGAAAAAAAATATATAGCTTTAAGTGCTAAAAAGACAGGAACTTTTACAAATCAAAGAGAACATCTGTAAGAGAAGTTAATATCAAGGATTATGATGCCAAGAAGAAATGTTGTGAAGAAAAGTGGAAAGGATTCTCAAGCATTGTGGGAAAGGGTAACCCTCTTTCCTTGCTGAATAATGAAATCAAGTAATTCTTAAATATCTAGCTCACATTTCAGTAGATTAATTCCTTAAGCACACCAATTAGCCTGAGAGAGAAATTTAAGCTTAATGGAGACATCTTAAAATTGCTTCATCTTATTTGATAAAAAAGGCTTAAATTTATAATTAAAATGTTAATATTGTGTCTTCCTCCACAGTGTGTAGTTTGCAAACAGGGAGTTTCCCTTAGGCACTCATGAATGTAGACAGAGTTACTTCAGCTCCACTTCTGAAGTAACAGAGGCATTAATAGTAATGGTCACAGAAGTTTCACTCTGTGTGGTAAGAAACAAACATCTCTCCAAGCCTTGTGCTATTACTTAGCACAGCCACGTTGCCAATTTTGTGAAACTGTACAAGTGTTTACACAGTCAGGTGAAAGCAAAAGTAGGCTACAAGGTTGCTCACTGTAATTTAAAGGGATGGTCAACAATTAATTAGATTTTCAGAGTAACTTTCTAGAAAATGTTTCCAGGCTATTTTAGAAAGAGATGAAACCTTAGAGTAATGTTCAGTCTTTTGGATTTTTCAAGCCACAGACAAGTTTGCAATTAAGTTGTGTATTCCTATAAAGCAAATAGTTGTATTGCCAATAGACTTCAAATTTTCATTGAATACTTTTTGCTGAGCTTTTGATCAGCTCGGCAGAAAACCGGTGTTCACAAACTAGAGTCAAAAACATTGCCTAAATATTTCAGAAATATTCCCCTGTAAACAGTAGCCCAAATTAATTAAAATGTGCACTTAACGTCAGAAAAAACTTCTTAGAGGAGTAACAGTATATTTTGTTGTCTGTTTCATAAATAAAGTTGTTAAAATCTTGGGGTTTTTTTCAGCAGCTTGTTCCTCACTCTTTGGTTTTGGAGCTTTTAATTTATTTTTTTTTTTTTTCTGTTAGAATAAGAAACGCAATAGAGCTTGTTGAAAACAGAATAGGAGAATACCTTAAACTGAGACTTCCTCTCTCGGGTTTGTTTTCCAGAAAACTGGGTGAGTGTGTAGTTACATTTGTCCATTTCTCCAATCTGTCCCTGAAGTGAGGGGTGTAATTACACGAAAAAGAGACTTTGTATCAAAGTTCAGCAACAACAAATTAAACTCAGCTTTAAAGCAGAGTGTCAGTTTACAGGAAACATTTCACCCACTCAACTGTCTCTGGGCAGTGCACAGTTTATTGTGTTCAAGGGAAGAAATGCATGGATTTTTGCAGGAGTAGTGTTTACCTAGAGGGAAATAAGGAAATTAATAAGAAGCAAGGTAACTGCTATCTATCTACTTGCCTAAGAAATAAAGGAACATATTCTGTGAGTATATATTCTATTAGAGGAATAGGGAAGTGTATTTTTTTGATTGTTATTATCATTTTCTTTTACCTGGCAGTCTCTGGTGAGACTGTGTTCTTGTTTCGTAGGGCACAAGAGCATTTGTGCCGGAGATGAAGATACAACTGGCAGCAATCACACACCACTTCTTTATTCTTGTCTTGTTGCTGGTAACTAGTTGTTATAGTAACTGTGACGTTGCTCTGGCAGGTTGACCTCCCAGCAGAGTGAAAAGCAGAGGAGTGTGTAATGTGTAGCATACATATTCAGGAGTCCAAGTGGTTGGTATTTGCAACTCTGTCATGTGCTTATGCCTATACAGAGCTGAAGAAGGGTTTGAGTCTGAGTAAACTGGAATCGCTAAAAGGGGAATGGAAGGAAGATGGACTCCCTCTAATGAAGCCTTTGTCAAGACATTGTCACTGTCTGGATATGCTCGAGAGCCATGCAGTGATATGATCCATTTGGGAATAATATTGTTCAAAAAGAATGGTGCTGTGATAAATGCACCTAAGTAGTGAAAAGTGAAAGAACTCCTAATACCACTGCTACCTATTGACATGTGACTGAGAGCCCCTACGTTATTAGAGTATTAGAATAATTTTTAGATTATTGTTAACACTTTAAAACCAAGTTAAATTTGACATGAGTACTGGAGATGCTATATAACTATTCCTATAAACCTTGGGTTTTGTTTAGACTTTATTCCTCAATAGAAAAATCAACTGGCAGTGGTAGACACCAGTTACTAAAACAAGGTTGTTTTGCCCACACACTGTTTGCAGAGATAATCGCAATATATGCCACCTAGATAATGCGTGATACCAGGCAGCCTAATGGCAGCCACTGTGCATCATATAAGTCACCTAACATGTGGCTTGTAAAGCAAGTTTTCACAGGGCAGGAAAAACCCTAAGGACAATGCATGTTGATATAACTTAGATACCAGTAACAGGTTTCATTCTCACTGTAAAATAATTCAGTTAGAAAATTAGGAAATTTGTATCCCAGGAGAATGAAAATTGATTGAATTCCATTGTTTTCTCCTCTTATTGTCAAAATTATGTACATATTAATATTTTACTTCATTTAATATAGTAAACTGATCCTACAATGCAGCTATCTGTTTCAGAAGTAGGTTTTAATTTTCTGAAATTGCCGCTGCCTATGTTGAGTTTTGTTTTGAATTCAGTAATTTGAAACCTACATTCTTAAAAGGGATGGGTATGGGAAGATGGAATCTATAATTCTGCATTAGTTTCTTTAGAACTCATTTATGCAAATTATAACAGTTATCAAAAACATACTGATGATCTGTACCTGAAAACTGAATTCCAAGTAGTCAGTGTAGACATCAGGATACAGTATAGATTGTGGGTTTAGGCTCAGAAAAGCTTTTTTGCTGCTTTCTTTTATCTTTTGTATAAAGTCTTTCTCCAAGACAGAAAAGCAATCTTTCAATTACTCATTCTGCTCTGAAATATATTTACCTTTTAATAAATGCTTGCTATGTGTTAAGTCACATTTTTAGTGATTTTTCTCCTGTTTGTGATAACTCATTTTTACCAGTTGACCTACAGCATCTGTTCTGTTAAACTCTTTTACAGCTTAAATACTGCAAGTCTTAAACATGTTTACATTTAACTGTCGAATATAAGCAGTAATAAGGTTTTTTCTAGTTTTTACCCTGAATCCACATATTATTGCAAATTGGTTCATATTATGAATT